CAAAAATCCCAAGAATCCCTCCACAAAAATCCCAGAAATCCCTCCCCAAAATCCCTCCCAAAAATCCCAGAAATCCATCCCCTAAAATCCCACAAATCCATGTCCCAAAAATCCCAGGAATCCCTCCTGTAAATCCCACAAATCCATCTCCCAAAATCCCAGAAATCCATCCCCTAAAATCCCAGAAATCCATCTCCCAAATCCCAAAATCCTCCCCCAAACCCCAAAATCCCTCCCCAACCCCCAAATCCTCCCCAAACTCCCAGCCCTCCCTCCCCAAACCCTTTCCCTGTTGTCCTGAGGTTTTTTTTCCCCCCACCCCCTCCCCCAAATCCCTGGAATTCCGGCTTTCCCAGGATCGGGCACCACAGCACGAGCGACGACAGCTCCGCGTACCGCTCGGTGGACGAGGTCAATTATTGGGACAAGCAGGACCACCCCATCTCCCGCCTGCGCCACTACCTGGGCCACAGGGGCTGGTGGGACGAGCACCAGGAGAAGGCCTGGAGGAAGAGCTCCAGGAAAATGGTGCGGAAAACTGGGAATTTTGGAATTTTAGGAATTTTGGGGTTCGGAGGAGGAGATGGGTTAAGGAGGGCATGAATTGGGAGGATTTCGGCATTTTGAGGAGGATCCTGGGATTTTGGGAGTGGAGATATTTGGGAAGGATCCTTGGGATTTTGAGGATGGTGCCAGGATTTTGGTGAAGTTCTTGGGATTTGGGGTTTAGTGTTTTGAGTGGTTTGGGGTTTGGGAAGGAGGAACAAGGAATTGAGGGAGGGAAGTCTTGGATGGTGAGGAGGAACCTCCAGGATTTAGGGCTGGGAGAGCCTTGGGATATTTAGGGAAGGATCCTTGGGATTTTGGGGATGGAATTTTGGTGGAAGTCCTTGGGATTTGGGGTTTGGGTTTTGGGGGTTTAGGTGTTTTTGGGGTTGGGAATCTCCCAGCCGGGCCCAGGGGCTGGTGGGACGAGCAGCAGGAGAAGGCCTGGAGGAAGAGCTCCAGGAAAATGGTGTGGAAAATTGGGAATTTTGGGAATTTTTTGGGTTTTGGGATTTTGGGGTTTTTAGGAGTTTGGGGGTTGGGGGTTTTTGGGGGGTTTGGGAATCTCCCAGCTGGGCCACAGGGGCTGGTGGGACGAGCACCAGGAGAAGGCCTGGAGGAAGAGCTCCAGGAAAATGGTGACTGAAAACTGGAATTTTGGGAATTTTGTAGGAATTTTGGGGTTCTGGGTTTTGGGGGTTTTGGGGGTGTTTTTGGGGGAGTTGAGAATCTCCCACCTGGGCCACAGGGGTTGGTGGGACGAGCAGCAGGAGAAGGCCTGGAGGAAGAGCTCCAGGAAAATGGTGTGGAAAACTGGGAATTTTGGGAATTTTGGGGGTTTTGGCGGTTTTGGGGAGGTTTCTGGGGGATTTTAGGAGAGGAGGAACAAGGGAATTAGGGAGGGAAATTCTCTGGGATGGTGAGGAGGAAACTCTCAGGATTTTAGGGCTGGGAGATCCTTGGGATATTTGGGAAGGATCCTTGGGATTTTGGGGATGGATTGCCAGGATTTTTGGTGGGAAGTTCTTGGGATTTTGGGGTTTTTTTGGGGGTTTGGGGGGTTTTTGGAGGGTTTGGGAATCTCCCACCTGGGCCACAGGGGCTGGTGGGACGAGCACCAGGAGAAGGCCTGGAGGAAGAACTCCAGGAAAATGGTGAGGAAAACTGGGAATTTTGGGAATTTTGGGGATTTTGGGGTTCAGGGGAGTGAGGAGATGGGGTCAAGGAGGGCGAGGGTTAAGGAGGAATTATCGGCATTCTGAGGAGGATCCTTCAGGATTTAGGGTGGAGAGCCTTGGGATATTTGGGAAGGATCCTTGGGATTTTGGGGATGGATTGCCAGGATTTTTGGTGGGAAGTCCTTGGGATTTTGGGGGGATTTGGGGGTTTTTTGGGGGGTTTTGGGGGTGTTTTTTTTGGGGGATTTTGGGAATCTCCCACCTGGGCCACAGGGGCTGGTGGGACGAGCACCAGGAGAAGGCCTGGAGGAAGAGCTCCAGGAAAATGGTGCGGAAAACTGGGAATTTTGGGAATTTTTTTGGAATTTTTGGGGTTTTTTGGGGGTTTCTGGGGGGATTTTTAAGGGTTTGGGAAAGGAGGGAGATGGGAGTTGAGGGAGGGAAATTCTTGGGATGGTGAGGAGGAACCTCCAGGATTTAGGGCTGGGAGATCCTTGGGATATTTTGGGAAGGATCCTTGGGATTTTGGGGATGGATTGCCAGGATTTTTGGTGGGAAGTTCTTGGGATTTTGGGGGGAATTTTGGGGTTTTTTGGGGGTTTTTTGGGGTGTTTTTTTGGGGGGGTTTGGGAGTCTCCCAGCTGGGCCACAGGGGCTGGTGGGACGAGCAGCAGGAGAAGGCCTGGAGGAAGAGCTCCAGGAAAATGGTACTGAACACGGAATTTTGGGAATTTTTGGGGAATTTTGGGGGTTGTTTTGGGTTTTGGGGGGGTTTTTTTGGGGGTGTTTGGGAATCTCCCACCTGGGCCACAGGGGTTGGTGGGACGAGCAGCAGGAGAGGCCTGAGGAAGAACTCCAGGAAAATGAGTCGAGAAAACTGGGAATTTTGGGAATTTTGGGAATTTTGGGGTTTGGATTTTTGGAGGAGTTTTGGGATTTTTGGGGGTTCAGGGAGGGGCAGGAATTGAGGAGGAATTTCAGGGATGGTGAGGAGGACCTCCAGGATTTGGAGCTGGAGATCTTAGGATATTTGGGAAGGATCCTTGGGATTTTAGGATGGATTTTTGGGAGTTTTGGGATTTTGGGTTTCTGGGGTTTTTGGGGTGTTTTGGGGGTTTGGAATCTCCACTGGTACTGGGGCTGGTGGGACGAGCACCAGGAGAAGGCCTGAGGAGAGCTCAGGAAAATGGTGCGGAAAATTGGGAATTTTGGGAATTTTGGGATTTTTGGGTTTGGGGTTTTGGGGGTTTTGGGGTTCAGGAGGAGGAACAAGGGAATTGAGGGAGGGAAATTCTTGGGATGGTGAGGAGGAACCTCCAGGATTTAGGGCTGGGAGATCCTTGGGATATTTTGGGAAGGATCCTTGGGATTTTGGGGATGGATTGCCAGGATTTTTGGTGGGAAGTTCTTGGGATTTTGGGGGTTTTTGGGGGTTTTGGGGTGTTTTTTGGGGGGTTTGGGAATCTCCCACCTGGGCCACAGGGGCTGGTGGGACGAGCACCAGGAGAAGGCCTGGAGGAAGAGACTCCAGGAAAATGGTGACTGGAAAACTGGGAATTTTGGGGAATTTTGGGGAATTTTTGGAGGAATTCTTGGGTTTTTGAGGGTTTTAGTTGGGGGTTTGGGGGTGTTTTTTTGGGGGGGTTCGGGAATCTCCCACCTGGGCCACAGGGGCTGGTGGGACGAGCACCAGGAGAAGGCCTGGAGGAAGAGCTCCAGGAAAATGGTGTGAGCTGAGAATTTTAGGAATTTTGGGAATTTTGGGGTTTTGGGGTTTGGGATTTTTAGGGGGTTTTGGGAGGTGGAGTTTGGGAGTTAGGAAATTCTCTGGGATGGTGAGGAGGAGCCTCAGGATTTAGGGCTGGAGAGTCCTGGGATATTTGGGAGGATCCTTGGGATTTTGGGGTGTGAGGATCCTGGGAATTTGGTGGAGAATTTTAGGGTAGGAATTTTGGGGGTTCGGGAAGGAGGAGATGGGAGTTAAGGGTCGGAGAGGTGGGGGGTGAGGGAGGAATTATCCGGCATTTCTGGGGAGGATCCTTGGGATTTTGGGGGTGGAGAGCCTTGGGATATTTGGGAAGGATCCTTGGGATTTTGGGGATGGATTGCCAGGATTTTTGGTGGGAAGTTCCTTGGGATTTTGGGGGGGGTTTTGAGGGATTTTTAGGGGTTTTTTTGGGGGTTTTGGGAAGGAGGGAGATGGGAGTTGAGGGAGGGAAATTCTTGGGATGGTGAGGAGGAACCTCCAGGATTTAGGGCTGGGAGAGCCTTGGGATATTTAGGGCAGGATCCTTGGGATTTTGGGGATGGATTGCCAGGATTTTTGGTGGGAAGTCCTTGGGATTTTTGGGAGAATTTTGGGGTTTTTTTGGGGGGTTTTGGGGTGTTTTTTTGGGGGGGGTTTGGGAATCTCCCAGCTGGGCCACAGGGGCTGGTGGGACGAGCACCAGGAGAAGGCCTGGAGGAAGAGCTCCAGGAAAATGGTACGGAAAACTGGGAATTTTGGGAATTTTTTGGGAATTTTTGGGAATTTTTTGGGATTTTTTGGAGTTTTTTGGGGGTTTTTTGGGGTGGTTTTTTGGGGGGGTTTGGGAGTCTCCCACCTGGGCCACAGGGGCTGGTGGGACGAGCAGCAGGAGAAGGCCTGGAGGAAGAACTCCAGGAAAATGGTGCGGAAAACTGGGAATTTTGGGAATTTTTTGGGAATTTTTGGGGATTTTTGGGGAATTTTTGGGGTTTTTTGAGCGGTTTTTTAGGGGGTTTTGGGAAGGAGGAACCAGGGATATTGAGGGAGGGAAATTCTTGGGATGGTGAGCCTGAGACCTCCGGGATTTTAGGGCTAGGAGAGCCTTGGGATATTTAGGGCAGGATCCTTGGGATTTGGGCTGTGGAGATCTCTAGGATTTGATGGAGGAACCACCAGGATTTTGAGGAAGAATCACTGGGACTTTGGGCCTGGAGACCCCTGGGATTTTGAGGAGGAACCTCCAGGATTTTGAGGAGGAACCTCCAGGATTTTGAGGAGGAATCTCCAGGATTTTGAGGAGGAATCTCCAGGATTTTGAAGGAGGAACCTCCAGGAGTTTGAGGAAGGATCACCAGGATTTTGGGATGAAATCTTTGGGATTTGGGGGCAGGAAATCCCCAGGGTTTGGGGGGAGAATCTCCCAAGTTTTTGGGGCAGGAAATCCTTGGGATTTTGAGGAAAGATCCTTAGGATTTAGGGAGGGAAATCCTTGGGATTTTCAGAACAGGAGAACCTCGGGATTTTGAGGAGGAATCTGCAGGAATTTGAGGAAGGAGCTCCGGGATTTCAGGAGGGAAATCCTTGGGATTCTGGGGGATGAATCTCCAGGATTTTGATGAGGAATCTGCAGGAATTTGAGGAAGGATCACCCAGGATTTTGGGAGGGAAATCCTTGGGATTCTGGGGGATGAATCTCCAGGATTTTGAGGAGGAATCTGCAGGAATTTGAGGAAAGAGCCCCAGGATTTCAGGAGGGAATTCCTGGGGATTCCAGAGCGGGAGAACTTTGGGATTTTTTTTGGGGGAGAGATTCCCAGACTTTTTGGGGCTGAAAATCCTCAGGATTTTGAGGCAGAATCCCCAGGAATTTTCAGGGCAGGATCCTTTGGCTTTGGGAGAAGGATCCTTGGATTTCAGGGAGGGAATTTTTTGTTAGGGAAGGGAAATTCAGGCCGGGATTCCCAACCGGGATTTTGGGCTTAAACCCCTTAAAAATTCAGGGTTTTTTTGGGGTGAGGCATCCCAAAACGTTGGGATTTGGGGATTCCCGGGGTTTTCCCACATCCTGCAGGTCCTGGAAGCCTTCGAGCAGGCGGAGAAGGAGCCCAAACCCTCCCCCCAGCTCCTCTTTTCCGACGTTTACCTGGAGATGCCGCCGCGGCTCCGGAGGCAGCGGGAGGAGCTGGAGCGGCACTTGGAGACCTACGGGGAGCATTATCCCCTCCAGCACTTCCAGAAGTGACCCCCTGGAATTCCAGGAGCCCGGAGATTCCCAGAGAACCCCCGGAATTCCGGGAAAACCCCAAATTCCGAGCGGGAATCACGAATAAAGACGGTTCGGGAGAGGCTCTCTCGGGATTTTTGGGGAGGAATCCAGGGATTTGTGGAGGGCAGGAGGTCTGGGATTCTGGGGAGGGAGATTCCCGGGATTTAGGGCAGGAAATGCCGGGATTTTGGGGGAGGAGACCCCCAGAATTCCATGAAAACCCCCTAAAATCCTCCCCCCGCCCGGAGACCTACAGGGAATGTTGTCCCTTCCAGAAGTGACTTCCCGGCATTCCAGGAGCTCTTTTGGAATTCCAGGAGAGCCCCCAGAATTCCAGGGGCTCCCTCAGGAGCTCGGGATTCCCAGAGAACCCCGGAATTCCGGGATAACCCCAAATTCCGAGCGGGAATCACAAATAAAGACGGTTTGGGAGAGACTCTTGGGATTTTTGGGAAGGAATCCAGGGATTTGTGGGAGGACAGGAGGTCTGGGATTCTGGGGAGGGAGATTCCCGGGATTTAGGGCAGGAAATGCCGGGATTTTGGGGGAGGAGAACCTCAGAATTCCATGAAAACTCCCTAAAATCCTCCCCCCACCTGGAGACCTACAGGGAATGTTGTCCCTTCCAGAAGTGACTTCCCGGCATTCCAGGAACTCTTTTGGAATTCCAGGAGACCCCCCAGAATTCCAGGGGCTCCCTCAGGAGCCCAGGATTCCCAGAGAACCCCCAGAATTCCGGGAAAACCCCGAATTCCGAGTGGGAATCACAAATAAAGACGGTTCGGGAGAGGCGCTCTCGGGATTTTTGGGAAGGAATCCAGGGATTTGGGGAGGAAGGAATCCAGGGATTTTGGAGCAGGAGATTCCTGGGATTTAGGGCAGGAAAGACCAGGATTTTGGGGGAGGAGCCCAAATCCAGACCCTTCCTGCTGGAATTCTCCCAAATCCAGACCCTTCCCATGGGAATTCTCCCAAATCCAGGCCCTTCCCTGCTGGAATTCTCCCAAATCCAGGCCCTTCCCATGGGAATTCTCCCAAATCCAGACCCTTCCCATGGGAATTCTCCCAAATCCAGGCCCTTCCCATGGGAATTCTCCCAAATCCAGGCCCTTCCCATGGGAATTCTCCCAAATCCAGACCCTTCCCTGCTGGAATTCTCCCAAATCCAGACCATTCCCATGGGAATTCTCCCAAATCCAGGCCCTTCCCTGCTGGAATTCTCCCAAATCCAGACCCTTCCCTGGGAATTCTCCCAAATCCAGGCCCTTCCCATGGGAATTCTCCCAAATCCAGGCCCTTCCATGGAATTCTCCCAAATCGCTGGAATTCTCCCAAATCCAGACCATTCCCATTGGAATTCTCCCAAATCCAGACCCTTCCCCATGGGAATTCTCCCAAATCCAGGCCCTTCCCATGGGAATTCTCCCAAATCCAGACCCTTCCCCTGCTGGAATTCTCCCAAATCCAAACCCTTCCCATGGGAATTCTCCCAAATCCAGGCCATTCCTATGGGAATTCTCCCAAATCCAAACCCTTTCCATGGGAATTCTCCCAAATCCTGACCCTTTCCCATGGGAATTCTCCCAAATCCAGACCCTTCCCTGCTGGAATTCTCCCAAATCCAGACCCTTCCCAGCTGGAATTCTCCCAAATCCAGGCCCTTCCCATGGAACTCAAATCAGACCTTCCTGAATTCTCCAAATCAGGCCATTCCCATGGGAATTCTCCCAAATCCAGGCCCTTCCCATGGGAATTCTCCCAAATCCAGACCTTTCCCATGGGAATTCTCCCAAATCCAGGCCCTTCCCTGCTGGAATTCTCCCAAATCCAGACCCTTCCCATTGGAATTCTCCCAAATCCAGACCCTTCCCTGCTGGAATTATCCCAAATCCAGACCCTTCCCATGGGAATTCTCCCAAATCCAGACCTTTCCCTGCTGGAATTCTCCCAAATCCAGGCCTTTCCCTGCTGGAATTCTCCAAATCAGACCCTTCCCTGCTGGAATTCTCCCAAATCCAGACCCTTCCCCTGGGAATTCTCCCAAATCCAGGCCCTTCCCATGGAATTCTCCCAAATCCAGGCCCTTCCCTGCTGGAATTCTCCCAAATCCAGGCCCTTCCCTGCTGGAATTCTCCCAAATCCAGGCCCTTCCCTGTGGGAATTCTCCCAAATCCAGGCCCTTCCCTGCTGGAATTCTCCCAAATCCAGACCCTTCCCTGCTGGAATTCTCCCAAATCCAGGCCCTTCCCATGGGAATTCTCCCAAATCCAGGCCAACCAGGGTTGGTTTTCCTTGGAAAATGGGCCTGGATCCCATGCAGGTTTTCCCTGGGAATTCCAGGAGGGTTTGGAGGGCGATCCTGGAGCCTTTTCCGAGCGATTCCGGCATTCCCAGAGGGATCCTCGGCCTCCTTTTCCCTTTAATTACCTTTGGAAGGAGCAGCTCGTTAAGAACCGGCCCTTAATTAGCCCTTAATTGGCTGCCCATTCCCAAGGGATCATCCTGAGCTTTCCAGGGGGGAAAAAAAAGGGGGGTTGGGATTGCTGGGAATGGGATTTGGGGAGGGTTGGGAAGTGATTCCCATTCCCAGGGATGTGATTCCCATTCCCAGGGCTGAAATTCCAGGATTCCAGTGGGATTGGGATGCAATTCCCATTCCCAGGGCTGGAATTTTGGGATTCTGGAGGGGTTGGGATGCAATTCCCATTCCCAAGGGTGGAATTCCAGGGGTTGGGATTGCTGGGAATGGGATTTGGGGAGGGTTGGGAAGCGATTCCCATTCCCAGGGATGGAATTCTGGGATTCCAGAGGGGTTGGGATGCCATTCCCATTCCCAAGGGTGAGATTCCAGGATTCAGGAAGATTGGGATGTGATTCCCATCCCAGGGTTGGAATTTCGGGATTCAGGGAGGATTGGGAAGTGCTTCCCCCCCTAGGGCTGGAATTCCAGGATTCTAGAGGGGTTGGGATGCAATTCCCATTCCCAGGGGCTGAAATTCCAGGATTCCAGAGGGGTTGGAATGTGATTCCCATTCCCAGGGAAGTGATTCCCACCCCTAGGGCTGGAATTCCAGGATTCAGGAAGATTGGGATGTGATTCCCATTCCCAGGGTTGGAATTTCGGGATTCAGGGGGGAGTTGGGATGCAATTCCCATTCCCAGGGATGGAATTCCAGGATTCAGGAAGGTTGGGATGTGATTCCCATCCCAGGGTTGGAATTTTGGGATCCAAGGGAGGATTGGGAAGTGCTTCCCACCCCTAGGGCTGGAATTCCAGGATTCAGGGGGGGTGTTGGGATGTGATTCCCATTCCCAGGGGTAGAATTCCAGGATTCAGGAAGATTGGGATGTGATTCCCATTCCCAGGGCTGGAATTCCAGGATTCCAGAGGGGCTGGGATGTGATTCCCATTCCCAGGGATGTGATTCCCATTCCCAGGACTGGAATTCCAGGATTCCAGCAGGGATTGGGATGCAATTCCCATCCCAGGGTTGAAATCCCGGGATCAAGGGGGGGTTGGGATGTGATTCCCATCCCAGGGATGGAATTCCAGGATTCAGGAAGGTTGGGATGTGATTCCCATCCCAGGGTTGGAATTTTGGGATCCAGGGGAGGATTGGGAAGTGCTTCCCACCCCTAGGACTGGAATTCCAGGATTCCAGAGGGCTCGGGATGTGATTCCCATTCCCAGGCTGGAATCAGTGATTCAGGGCAACTTGAAGGGTGTGATTCCCATCCCTAGGGCTGGAATTCTGGGATTCCAGAGGGGCTGGGATGCGATTCCCATTCCCAGGACTGGAATTCCAGGATTCAGGAAGGTTGGGAGACACCCACCCCTGGGAGCTTGGAATTCCAGGATTCTAGAGGGGTTGGGATGCAATTCCCATCCCAGGGTTGAAATCCCGGGATCAAGGGGGGGTTGGGATGTGATTCCCATCCCAGGGATGGAATTTAGGGATCCAGGGGGGGTTGGGATGCAATTCCCATTCCCAGGGACTGGAATTCAGGGTTCAAGGAAGATTGGGATGTGGATTCCCACCCCTAGAGGCTGGAATTCCAGGATTCCAGCAGGGGTGGGATGCAATGCCCATTCAGGACTGAATTCCAGGATTCAGGAAAGGTTGGGATGTGATTCCCCATTCCCGGGGGCTGAGAGTTCCCGGGATTCCAGTTGGGTTGGGATGCAGATTCCCATTACCAGGGGTGGAATCCGGGATCCGAGGAAGGATTGGGGATGTGATTCCCATTCCCAGGGCTGGAATTCCAGGATTCCAGAGGAGGTGGGATGTGATTCCCATTCCCAGGGATGGAATTTAGGGATTCAGGGGGGAGTTGGGATGTGATTCCCATTCCCAGGGAAGTGATTCCCATTTCCAAGGGCTGGAATTCTGGGATTCAGGAAGATTGGGAAGTGATTCCCATTCCCAGGGTTGGAATTCCAGGATTCAGGAAGATTGGGATGCAATTCCCATTCCCAGGGAAGTGATTCCCATCCCAGGACTGGAATTCCGGGATCCAGGGGGTTTGGGATGTGATTCCCATTCCCAGGGCTGGAATTTCGGGATTCAGGGAGGATTGGGAAGTGCTTCCCACCCCTAGGGCTGGAATTCCAGGATTCCAGAGGGTTGGGATGCAATTCCCATTACCAGGTTTGGAATCCCGGGATTCAGGAAGATTGGGAAGTGATTCCCATCCCAGGACTGGAATCCCGGGATTCAGGAAGATTGGGATGTGATTCCCACCCCGGCGTTGGAATCCCGGGATTCCAGCAGGGGTTGGGAATTCCCATCCTCCTCCCTCCTCCCTCCCCTCGCGGCCTCCTCTTCCCACCCCTCTCCCAACCTTTGGAATTCTCTCCCTGGAAGGAGAAAGGAGGAGGAGGGGTGGGGAGAGAGGAGAGTGGGGAGAGAGGGAGGGGAGGGCCTCTTCTGTTCTTCCCGCCCTCCCCCCCTTCCTCCCTCCCTCCTCCCATCCCAGGGCGTCTCCTCTTCCTCCTCCTCCTCCTCCTCCTCTTCCTCCTCCTCCTTTTCCTTGGAAAAGCCGAGGCGGGCCGCCCCTGCGGCAGCAGCTCTAGGACCCCCGGGGACCCCCATCCCTCCCTCCCTCCCCCAAAAATCAACCCCCAAAACCCCTCCCTCCCCACCCCAAAAATGGACGGCAGAGACCCCGGGGCCCCCTGAGGAGGCCACGGGCGAGGTGAGCGGGATCGATCCAGAGGGATCCAAAGGGTTGGGAATGGTGGGAATGATGGGGGGAGGAGGGAGAAGGAAACGCCGCAACCTCCGCAGCGCGGCCTCGACCCCACCCAAAACCCTAAACCCCCCAAATCCCACCCTGTTCTCATCCCCTGCCCCCTAATTCTATCCCTGATCCGGATTTCCCACCCTGAATCCTGGTTTTCCATCCCAGATCCCGGTTTTTCCGTCCCCAATCAGTTTTCCCCCTCTGAATCCCGATTCCACTCTCCAAAATTCGATTTTCGCCCAAAATCGCGGCTTTTCACCCTGAATCCACCCGTTCTTCCATCCCCTGCCCCAATTCCATCCCGATCAGTTTCCACCTGAATCCTGGTTTTCCATCCTGAATCGGTTTCCACCCTTAATCCAGTTTCCCCAGAGTCCCGATTTTCCACCCCAAAAGTCCATTTTCACCTCAAATCCCACCCTGTTCTCATCCCCTCTGCCCTAATTCCATCCCCGATCGGTTTCCCACTGAATCGGTTTTCCATCCCTGATCCCAGTTTTCCACCCCAAAAGTCCGATTTTACCCCCAAATCGGCTTTTCCCCAGATCCCACCCTGTTCTCATCCCCCGCCCCCAATTCCATCCCCATCCCGGTTTTTCCATCCCTGATCCTGGTTTTCCACCCTGAATCCTGATTTTCCCACCCTGAATCCCGGTTTTCCCACCCCCCATCCCGGTTTTCCACCCCAAAAGTCCGAGTTTTACCCCCAAAATCGCGGCTTTTCACCCCCAAATCCCACCCCGTTCTCATCCCCTCGCCCCAATTCCATCCCCCCATCCCGGTTTTTCCATCCCTGATCCCGGTTTTCCACCCCCGATCCCGGTTTTCCGTCCCAAAAGTCCGATTTTCGCCCCCAAATCCCACCCGTTCTCATTCCCCCAGCCCGAATTCCATCCTCGATCCCGGTTTTCCCACCCTGAATCCCGGTTTTCCCATCCCCAATCCCGATTTTCCACCCCCAATCCCGATTTTCCACCCCAAAAGTCCGATTTTCACCCCCAAAATCGCGGCTTTTCACCCCCAAATCGCGACTTTCCCCACCCCATTTTCACCACCCCCTCCCCCCCAGCCCGAATTCCATCCCAAATCCCGATTTTTCCACCCCAAATCCCGATTTTCCGGCCCAAAAGTCTGCTTTTCCCACCCCCCATCCCGGTTTTCACCCCCAAAATCCGGCTTTTTCCCCAAAATCCCGGTTTTTCACCCCCAAATCCCAGCTTTTCCTACCCCATTCTCATCCCCCAACCCCAATTCCACTCCAAATCCCAGTTTTCCCATCCCAAATCCCGATTTTTCCACCCCAAATCCCGATTTTTCCACCCCAAATCCCGATTTTCCGTCTAAAATCCGCTTTTCCCACCCCCCAATCCTGTTTTCCGCCCTAAAGGTCCCGTTTTCCCCCTCAAAATCGCAGTTTTTCACCCCAAAATCCCGGTTTTTCACCCCTAAATCCCGGTTTTTCACCCCCAAATCCCGGCTTTTCCCACCCCATTCTCATCCCCTCTGCCCGAATTCCATCCCTGATCCCGATTTTCCCCATCCCAAATCCCGATTTTTCCACCCCAAATCCCGATTTTCCGGCCCAAAGTCCGGTTTTCCCACCCCCCATCCCGGTTTTTCACCCCAAAATCGCGGTTTTTCACCCCAAATCCCGGCTTTTCACCCCCAAATCCTGGTTTTTCCCCCCAAATCCCGGTTTTTCACCCCCAAATCCCGAGTTTTCCACCCCTAAAATCCCTATTTTCCCCCCCAAATCACAGTTTCTTCCCCTCCAGTTCCCTCCAAATCCCCAATTCCCTCCCCAATCCCAAATTTCCCTCCCTGAGTTCCCCCAAATCCCCAATGACTCACCCCCAAAAATCCCAATTTCCCCCCAAAATCCCAATTTCCACTCCTAAACTCCCCATTTTCCTCCCCCAAAATCCCAATTTCCACCCTGAAATCCCAATTTCCCCTCCCCAAAACCCCAAATTTTCCCCCAAAATCCCCATTTCCCCCCACCCAAACCCAACTCCCACCCCCTAAATCCCAAATTCCCCCTTAAATCCCAAATTTCCCTCCCTGAGTTCCCCAAATCCCCAATTCCCACCCCAAAATCCCAATTTCCCCTGAAATCCCAACTTTCCCCCAAAATCCTAATTTCCCATCCCCCAACCCCCATTTTCCCCCTCAAAACCCCAAATTTCCCCCAAATCCCAAATTTCCCCTCAAAATCCCAAATTCCCCCCAAATCCCAATTTCCCATATCCCAACTTTCCCTCTAAATTCCCAATTCCCCCCCAAATCCCAAATTTCCCCCCAAATCCCAAATTTCCCCCAAATCCCCAATTTACCCCCTCAAAATCCCTCCAAACTCAATTCCCACCCCCCAAATCCCAATTTTCCCTCCCAAATTTCCCCCCAAATCCCAGCTTTTCCCCCCTAAATTCCCAACTCCCACCCCTAAATCCCAAATTTCCCCCAAATCCCAATTTTCCCTCCCAAATTCTCAACTCCCACCCCCAAATCCCAAATTTCCCCAAATTTCCCCCAAATCCCAACTTTTCCCCCTCCAAACTCAATTCCCACCCCCCAAATCCCAATTTTCCCTCCTAAATTCTCAACTCCCACCCCCAAATCCCAAATTTCCCCCAAATTCCCAATTCCCACCCCAAAATCCCAATTTCCCCTGAAATCCCAACTTTCCCCAAATCCCAATTTCCCCAAATCCCAATTTTCCCTCAAATCTCAATTCCCACCCTAAATCCCAACTTTCCCTCCCAATTCTCACTCCCAACCCCCAAATCCCAAATTTCCAAATCCCAACTTTCCCCTCCAAACTCAATTCCCACCCCCAAATCCCAATTTTCCTCCTAAATTCTCACTCCCAACCCCCAAATCCCAAATTTCCCCAAATTTCCCCAAAATCCCAACTTTTCCCCCCTTAAATTCCCAATTCCCACCCCCTAAATCCCAAATTTCCCCCCATCTCCCAATTTTTCCCCCCCTAAATTCCCAATTCCCAACCCCAACTCCCATTTTCCCTCAAATCCCAACTTTCACCCCCAAATCCCAAATTCCCCCAAATCCCAAATTTCCCCAAACTCCAAATTCCCAATCCCAAATTTCCCCAAATCCCCAATTTCCCTCAAATCCTCCAAACTCAATTCCCACCCCTCAAATCCCAATTTTTCCCTCCTAAATTCTCACTCCCACCCCCCAAATCCCAAATTTCCCCCCAAATCCCAACTTTTCCTCCCTAAATTCCCAACTCCCACCCCCAAATCCCAACTTTCCCTCTAAATCCCAACTCCCACCCCTAAATCCTAATTTCCCCCAAATCCCAATTTCCCCTCAAATCCCAATTTTCCCCCTAAATTCCCAATTCCCACCCCAAATCCCAAATTTCTCCCAATTCCCCCAAATCCCAACTTTCCCTAAATCCCAACTCCCACCCTCAAATCCCAATTTCTCCTCCCTAAATTCCCAACTCCCACCCCCTAAATCCCAAATTTCCCCCCAAATCCCAACTTTTCCCCCTTCCAAACTCAATTCCCACCCCCAAATTCTCACTCCCACCCCCCAAATCCCCAATTTCCTCCCTCCACATCCCAAATTTCCCCCAAATCCCAAATTTCCCCCAAATCCCAACTTTTCCTCCCTAAATTCCCAACTCCCACCCCCCAAATCCCAAATTTCCCCTCTAAATTCCCAATTTCCCACCCCCAAAATCCCAGTTTCCCTCCCAAATCCCAAATTTCCCACCAAGTTTCCCAATCCCAACTTTTCCCCTCCAAACTCAATTCCCACCCTCAAGTCCCAATTTTCCCATCCTAGAATTCCCAACTTCCAGCCCCCAATCCCAAATTTCCCCTCTAAATTCCCAATTTCCCACCCCAAAATCCCAATTTCCCGAATCCCAAATTTCCCCCAAATCCCAAGTTTCCCCAAGTCCTAAGTTTTTCCCCTTAAATTCCCAATTCCCACCCCCAAATCCCAAATTTCCCCCAATCCCAAATTTCCTCCTCCCAACCTCCAATCCCTCCTCCTTTTTCCCTTTCCGGTTTCCCTCCAAGCCTTCCCAAATTTCCGTTCCCTTCCCAAGAGATTTGGGATTCAGTTTCCCATTCCAGTCCTCCCTTCCTTTCCCAAAATCCTGCCTTGTCATCGCTCCAGGTGTTCCCATTCCAGGTGTTTTCCCATTCCAGGTTTTCCCATTCCAGGTGTTTTCCCATTCCAAGTTTTCCCATTCCAGGTTTTTCCCATTCCAGGTGTTTTCCCATTCCAGGTGTTTTCCCATTCCAGGTGTTCCCATTCCAGGTGTTCCCATTCCAAGTTTTCCCATTCCAGGTTTTTCCCATTCCAGGTGTTCCCATTCCAGGTGTGTTCCCATTCCAGGTTTTTCCCATTCCAGGTGTTCCCTCCCTCCCTTTCCCCTCCCCTCCCCCCCCTTTCAGAGCGGGATTTTCCCACTTTTTTTCTCTTTTTTTTTCCTTCCCTTATCCCATTTTTTTCCACCTGCAAATCCCGGGTTTTTTTCAACCCCAAATCCCGGGGTTTTTATTCCTGGATTGTTTTTTTTTTGGGATGAACCCCTTGGGAAGGGGGGAGGGGAAAGGGGGGGGAGGGGCCGATCCCACTCTGGAATCACTTCCTGAAGAATCAACGGGAATTTGGGAAGGGTCAAGCCCTGGAAAAAAGGTGGGAAAAATCCAACCTGGGAATATTTTGCCCCAAAAAGGAGGATTTTAACCTCAAACCCAAATTTAAAAAGAGGATTTTAACCTCAAAACCCCAAAATTTCCAAAAAAAAGAAGATTTTTAACCTCAAACCCCCCCCCAAAATTTCCCAAAAAAAGAGGATTTTTAACCTCAAAACCCCCCCCAAATTTCCAAAAAAAAGAAGATTTTTAACCTCAAACCCCCCCCCAAAATTTCCCAAAAAAAGAGGATTTTTAACCTCAAACCCCCAA